CACTATCCAAAGTGTACACTTTTTTGTGTACCAAAGGAGAGTCCAGGTATATTTTAGGATATTTTAGGTGAACTGTTTTAAGGGTGTGCGGTGTGCATGTGTGTGTGTCAGATTCCTGGGCTTGACTCAGGCCCAGCTTGCCGCTCCCCGGCTTTAGCGCCACCATCGACCTCCCCACGCGGCCGCCCCCACGTGCGCCGGGCCTGCGGAGGGATCCGCATCCAACGGCGATGGATGTGGGCGAGGAGCTCACGGTGTCTTATGTGGCCTGGTTGGGAAGCATCCGCCGATCGAAGGGTCTGAGAATCGACTCTGATCTCTGAAAGCCGACTCTTAGAGCCAGATTTGGCGGCCCACGAATTGCCATGGCGCAGTGAGTGTCACTTCGGTGTCGTTTCTGGGCAAAAGCGGATCGGATCGGTGTCCAGGCGAGCTTCGATCACCAGACGTTGGAACATCTCTCCGTGGACCTCGCCACGATCTTCGAAGGGCCCTGGACCGAAGACTCGCTCTTGGCCAAGTCCCTGGAGTGCCCTGCTTGCACGAGGGTCGAACTCGAAGGGTGGCGTAGCAGCAGGTTTCTGTGAATGTCCGGGTTTCTGCAGATTCTGAACAATGATTGGGATGAGCCCATCAGAAACCGGTTTCACCTCAGCCCGATGGGATATCATGCGATCCCGCGAGACTCGCAATCTTGCCAAGCAATGAGATGCATGGGGAATGTTCTAGAACCTTTGGGATATACTGGATAGATCCGATTTTTGAGAATGGGGATGAGCATTGCTGGCGAGTTTCGACCATTTTCAATGCCTAGGAGTGCTATACTAGGAGGGATTCGTTAGATGCATCTCACTCCTGGAGTTGGAAATAGTATGAAATACTCGACTGTTGTTAGGACACAAGTACTAAAGAAAAACCGATTCAACGCTATTCAAGGCTGATGTTTGGTAAAAGATTTCTGCGGAACTGCCACGTCCTGAGGCGATCCGGTGCGACCCATTTGAGGGTCGGGTGGCAACAGGGGCTCAGGCAGATGACCTTCATGATGGACATGAAGAAGCTTGGTGTTTAACAGGGTTTTGTGAGAACTCAAGTTTCTACCACATGCTGCTTTTTGATTGACATGGCAGTCTTGCTGGTGGCCAGCTTGGCAAGCTGATTCCAGCTCCGATTCACATGAGGACCCATCCAAATCCATATTTGACATTGTCAAGGACCTCCCCATTTCTCAGAGTCCCAGCAGTGGATATGCTCCTGACCTGCGCCAGGACAGGAAAGATGATCTCACCCTCATCCCTTTCAACATGTGTTTTGAAATCTAATCTATTTATATACCCAGTACTATACCAAGTCCCTAAGGTTTCAAGATGGTCTTTTGTGTGCTCAACGGGTCATCCCACTGGGTCGACAGCATCGCCCAGGGTCCCCTGGCACCATGTGGAAACGGTGGAAGCCTGGAGTGGAAAGGCGGGGGTCAGCTGCCATTGAACGCTTTGCAACATCTGAGAGGTGCCCGGCCTCCACCGTCCTTTGTTCAGTATATGCTATCATCACGTTTGTCAAAATCGGAATCATCGAACATCTTCAACATGCTTCAACCATGCAATCCCAGACACAAGAGATGGGAGAACAGCCGTACTTGGTTGGCGTCAGGTGGTCTCTGGGGTGGACGTGAGCAGCTCGGAGATGAGGATCAACAGCACGGTGAGGTCGTTGAGAAGCGACTTGGACGACGCATTTGGAGCGATGGCTGATCTCAAATCCCAACCTGAGCCGTCTCAAATCTGGCTTCTTGGGCGCTTTGGGAGTTGGGGATCGTTCGGCGGTTGGCCAGACACATCATCCTGAACTGAACACACAACGCCAGATTTGAGCTAAAGACATGTTACATATCAAGATCAGGGAGGCTCAGGATGGAACGGTTTAATCCAAGACTGGGTGCAGCGCGTTGCTTTATGTTGTTGTTCCAGCAGCAAATCCTAGCTTGTCGTTGCGTCCACGAAGCATCTTTGGAGACGAACGATGAAACAAGGGAAGTCTCTCATTGGAAAACACACTCGTGGGAAGGGTTGCCAATGGTTGCTACTTTGTAGGTGATGTTATTCTTTTGCGTGGCTCGCAGCGGTTTCACTCGGAGACCTCCCTGCTGGGAATTTGGACAAGATGACTACAGATTACATATTGTTTGCCCTATTTCGGAAGACGTACCTGACCTGTCAGAGTGCACCGAGAATATCCGAGAAAACCAAGTTCATAGTCCCCAGGGTGGGACCAAGTTGCAAACACTCATTCGCTGAGGTACGAACCACTCCTGGATGCTGGAGACGCTTGGCACAGACGGTTTGCCCCTTGAAGCCTTTGGCCCCATGAGCCAAAAGGCCGATTCTTTACATCCCCTTGGCCTGTCTCTTTGACCCTTGAGACCTTGCGTGTATGGTTCATGAGGGGATTCTCCGAACGAGTATTGCACTGCCGTCGAGTGGAGCCTTTGGACGAGGTCCCAGGCAAAAGCTGGTTTGTGAAATAATCCTCAGATCGAATCGTTGTGTTTAATATACTATATTTAAATATAACTAAATTACGAAAGCCAGCTGATAGGCTAGGCTTGAGCTTTTAGGGCGAACGAAGTGAGTTAAGGGGGTGTGGTGGTGGGGTGGTCGCTGAGGAGGACCTTTTGATAGGGTGGACCAGAGCTTGGTGGGGGAGAGCGCTCCAAAGCGAGGGTCCGAAAGCAGTGAACATCGCCGGCATCATTCGTCCCTTCATGACTCAAGAAGAATTTGGGTGCGATTTGACGATCAAGTCGTGACATGTTGGCGAGAGGCGGTGCCATTCAAGCATTCGTTCGACAACACTTCAGTAAGACTTTTCGTCTCCAGGCCTCAGGACGACCGCCCCCTCCAGCTCCCGGAAGAGCCGGCCGGTGCAGAAGCAGGCGCCAGCAAAGATTATATATATGTATTGCTGATGCGTGCTCCCCATCCGCCTGCCCAGGGCGCACCCACTGTGGTCTTGCCCCGAGCCTTTGCGCGGGGAATTTTCCATGAACAAAAGAAGCAAATTGCCCAGGTACAAAGAGCCCGGCACGGACGTCAAGTGCGACACCTGCCAAAGGCCAAGATGTGTTGCTTTCATGTCACACACGCACGCGATCTTGTCCAGGAGGGGAAGGCTGAGACAGAAGCAAAAGCGCCCTGATCAGGAGAAGTTCGGTAGGCCGACTCTGCACGAAGCAGGCGGCCCCGCGCCGTTGTGCGTGTCAACCGGAGTTGCTCCAAACATGTCGCCAGGGTGCGCTGCCCTCCGTGCAAAGCCCTGCAGGAGCCGCAAGATGAATATGATCTTGAGAATAAGCGCTCCGTGATCAAGTACTTGGCTTTGCACTGTGGCACAAAGGCCAACTGATTTGGTTGCAACCTTGGAGTACGTTACTATGTTTCCAGCCTCAAGCGCAGAGCCACAAAGCCGCGCCCTCTGTCCCGCTGAAGTCATCGACAGGACCTCCTCTCGTCCTGAAAATTCGGTTTGGGTTCCGCCCAAACCGAGTGTTGTTGTGTAGCAAGGGCATTGGGGTCAAGAGCATGAAAAGGCGTGCGTTGTTTAGAGGGTTGGGTTCTGGAGGTGTGACCATGCGGACGGGCGCCAGCATGTACATCCCTTCTGGCAACGTGGAGGGCTTGTTTCGCAAGGCAGGCGCATGATTGTTTTAAACGCAGTCGTGTTCCGGAACGCTTCATTGAGAAGAGATTTGGGAAACATTTGTGATTAACTGTGGCCATGGGGAAAATGTTGAACTGATGCAAGATTTGGACATATTGGATATAGGTTCGATTTATTGGAGACAGTGTGGCCATGCAGTGATGCACCTTTCAGGGGCCTGATGTGACTTTGGGCCGCCGCTCGTACAAAGTAATTAGAATTTATGCCGGAGCAAACCACCCAGAAAAACCACAAAGCTGCATCCCTTCCCCCGCCCAGCCTTCGGGAGGGGGCTTGGGTTGTTTTGACGAAGCACATGATCAACTAATGATGTTGTGTATCTCAAAATTTCGCTGAGGATCTCCTTTGACATGGACGCGCCGGTGCTGGAGCGTTTACGCCCCAAACTGCTGATCCAACTGGAGCCCCGAGCCCAGGGGCTGGAGGCAGGAGGAACCCGCAAGGTGGGTCGCTGGTGAACTGATTTGGATTCTTAGTGGTGGCCCCAACCAAACATCCTTCGCTAGTTGTATATGTCAGTATATGTATTTTTGTGATGGGATGTGCTAGGAACTCCATGATGTGCATGCCACCGATCCACTCGATGATGTAAGGGACTGAACATCATATCAGTTCCGGGTCACGGTGAGTTCCTAAATGGCGTCAGCGGTTGATGCATCACATCTACATGGAAGGACCTTTTCTAAACCAATGGATGTTACTGGTGTAGAGACTGTAGAGTCTGTAGAGAGTCTAAAAACGATTGTTAATAGGACCCTGTGTCATGAAGGAGAGGTTTAAAAATTGTTTCACGACTGATCCTACTACAGACGGAGGATAGACATTTGCATCGCCATATCTTGGGACTGAAACCACAGGAACTGCGAGCGGCTGAAAGTACTGACGCCTGATGGATCGTGCTACCTCAAATCACGGATAGATAAATTTTGGAAGGCATCATCGTCATCCAGACATGCCCCCCCCTTCCTGAAGATTGAATGAGGCAAACCCAGGGAACGGTTTGGGATGATGTGGCCAATGGTCAGCCTAGGTCAGCATTCGCGCTGCATGGGCACATTGGTGTTCGGATATGTGTTCAAACGGGAGGAACCCCAAGCACATACGATATCACTGCAGTTTCCTCGCTTTATTGTTGCTTTTGAATGGTACTGTACCCATTTGTACCACATTGTTTATATTCACATTGTGTATATAATTGTTTCAAATCTATGAGCGCAAATTCATGGAATCTCCGAGTACAATATAGAAACAGACCGAAGATGTCCTCAAGTCCTGTAACGGGGCCCTGTCAGGGTAGGTATTGGTTTAACTGGCCCCCAGGACATCTTCAGACGATTTTGGAAGTTTCCAAGGACGTTTCAGCGGGATCGACCGATCGGACCGAGCTTTGGAGGTGAGCAGAGGTGGGCCCGAATTTCCAACGATGCAGCAATATACAGCACATTCCCCCGGACAAAGGAACCCCCGAGGTTCAAATCCCTTCACATATATCCTTGTAGATCCCAGATCCCCAAGATCAACCTTGCCCGCGGCAGGTGTGGACTGGCGGCCTTTTGGAGTGGAAGGCCACCAGTGAGTCCATGGACATGAGAGACCTAGATGTTCAATGATTTTCAGATCATGGACTTGGATCCTCCCCATGAAAGAAGGTTGGTTTGTTCTTTTGCCTGGACTTGGATAGGATTGGAGAAAGAAGTCATTTTGACCACTCTTGTCCTGGTTCCATCGGCAATTGTGTTTATCCCCTTCCACACGTTCGGCAAGGCGCACTGCCACTTTCTGATTCGCCGGCCAATGGTGCGCTGATGGGATTGTCAAATGGTCGATGTTGGGATGGCGGGACGACTGCTGATGTGAATTTAGATTGAAGTGCTCTATGCTACCATCCTGAACAAGAGGATGTTTGTTTCTATGTGCTGAAACCGACACAACCAGATCTATTCTTAGATTGCCCTGGCTCCATCCACCTGAAGAGGGACTTGGCTTGACTGAAAACCAATTACATCAAGAGATCAGTTGGCAGATGCGAAGCAGCTGTTTGGCTGACGCTGTTGCCAGGAGCATGGCTTCTTCCTGGGTCTGGCCAGATTGAGCCGAGCTGTCTTGGAGGAGCTCAGGAGCTTCTGCTGCGCATGCTCTGGGAGAGTCTTAGGGGTTTTCAACTTGGAACGTTGCTCAAGGGTGGTTTGCAGCTTGTACACAATCTCTTTTTTGGGCAGAAAGCTTGTGGTTTGGTCAATAAGCAGGGCTCCATTCATCGGAGGGCTTGCATCCAGCCTTGAGAGATCCGCGACTTCCGGCTTGCAACGGACAGGGTTCTATTTATTTGTTCGTTTGTAGTCTGTGGTGACGGGGTGTTTTCTTGGCTCTTGCGATCCTTTTTGACACTATAGCTAGATCCTAGATGATCGCGTCCCGTGATCCTGCGCCTATTCCAAGAGTTTTGACTGCTTGAGGACCCTGGCAGATCCAGCCAAACAGAGGCCCTAACTGATGGTGGTGTTGACCTCTCGCGCAGACTATGCTTTCCTTGGGGTCGGAAAAGTGACCCGAGAAGTGTGTCAATCCGTCTAAATGTTGCATTGTATAGTCTGTGGCTCTTTGTTTGAATGCTCTCTGATATGGTGACATCAACTATTCCGAAAACATCCGAAAACTCCTGAAAACAGGTACAGTAGACAGCAGTCGAAAGGTGCAGCACTGTAGCGGTGTCTCTCTACACAAAGATCGGCATTGTGTCTACTTCGATGCTTCAGTGTGAAGATGACGTGTGAATTCTACAAGACTGTTGCACAGACTCAGAGGCTTCTGGGAATGGACCACGAAACCACACGGATCCTGGTTTCGCTGAAGCCACCCCGGTCGATCCCCCGGTCGATCGCACTGCGTTCATCGAGCCGATCGAGACCGATGGTCAGAGTTCACCGCAAAGGGAAGATTTTCTTTGTTTTGGGTAGTTAAACATGTTGGAAGGGTTTATGAATGTCTATGATGTTTGAATATGTTTCATGGATTTCCGTCCATGAACAATAGGGATGGTGAACTCCAACGCCAGACTTTTGGTATTGTTCTGTCAGACTTAAGAGATAGCCACATGAGAACATAAAAAATGGCATTTCTTTTTGAGATGCTCCCAACAATTAAAGCAACGGACACAGCTCTTGCTACCACATCACCCCAATGATTCTCGCACCAATCCGCTAGCAGGACCAGGAATTGGGAATCACATACATATGAGTGAGCTCCACAAGTTCACCATCGCCGTTTGATGGTCCACCTCTCCAGCTTCCTTTTGAACACATCGCAGGTTTGGCTCATGAAGCTGTTCACCTTTTTCCCGAGTCACTCAGCTGGAGAAATGGGGGCAAAACTCAGGGTCACTGTTTGAATGGACACCCAGCCTTGACATTTCTGAAGGGTGAGAGAACTGTCTGTTCTCAGTTCGCAAATGCAAGTTATGATAAGTTTGACTAGACATCCGACAAACACAAGTCCACCGGAGTCCCGGGCCCGGGTTTTGCATGGGGTTTGATTGAACACGGTCTGAAATAAGATACAGTGGGTTTGAGCATCGTATTTGTTCAATTCATTTTAGAACTTTTCTCCTTGTCAAGGTTGCCTGCAATCCGTCAAAGACAACCAACTCTGGTGTTTTCCATCCTTGAGAGGTTCCATCCCTCTGCGGGCACTGCCTTTTCGAGCCGAGGTGCACGAAACGGCTGAAGCCGATAAAGCCAAATTTGGGGATGGGATTGCGAGTCAGGGGGTCACCTAAAAGGCATAATTGGGGATCTCAGAATCTCCAATTGTTGAAGAAACCTCTTTGCGAGGCTGAATACCCTGCTCTTAAGGCCCATAGTAGCCACTTGAATATCAGTGAAAAGAGGTGAAAAGAGTGAGCCTGGGTTATTCCCTTTGGACACCTCTATTATCCTCCATTCGAGCTAAGCAACACGTCACTAAGCTCTTACTCTACCAACTTGGTTTCTTATACCCTTTCGATTCTTTCATGTTTGTTGGATTGCTCCCGGCAGTGCAATAGTTCAACAATGTCCAACATTTCCAGTCTCCACTTCTCCTTAGGGCCCTTGGTTTCCGGATCTTTGAAAGCTTTGCAATGACCCTTTGCTGTTCTCCCTGGGGGTTGAACAGCCCAAGATGGCAACCTGACACCTCACTACGACCCATGAAGAGCCGGGCGCTCCGCGTCCGGCTGGAAACGCGGCGTGCGTGAGACCTGCGGTTTGATGCCAGAGAATCCTCCCGTTCAATCGGGCGACGATGCCTAGAATCCTCGAAGTCGCCTTCGGACGACGAAGAAAAACATTCTTTGCCAGGTGTGAAGGATGTGTGATTTGATGTGGGTATATGATGTATATATGTTTATAATGTGTTACACTTTCTCACTTTGTCATCATGATCTGTATGTCTCACCCTGCAGGCTTAAACCCTGGTCCTCGTGAGGAAAGATTTCACCCGAAAGTCAGGGGCCCTTCCTAAAAGAGCCAACAGTGCCAACACCAACCACTGGCCAAGGAGGCCAATAACATCAAATATCCCTGGCCCTTCGGTTGCGAAATCAGGAGCAGCTCGGAGTGCCAAGGACTCCAGTGTCGGTTCAGTCCCCTGAAATCTCCGATCTGAAGGACTTTGGGGTTCGAGGGGAGGAAGCAGGAGGAAGCGATATACACGTTGCGAACGACCAAGTAGCGACCCCATGACTGATGCTGGTGGAGTCTGAGGACGTTTGAGTGTTGGGGGGATCCACCCTAAGCAACAGCAAGCCAGCTTCAAGTCTAATCAAGCAGGAGGTCGAACTGCACCGCCCTCACCACAACATTCGGCCCAATGGTTCCAATTCATATAGCTTCGTGGCTTGGGAGTGAGCTAGTCTGCCCTGAAAACGACGAACATCAGGCTATTCATTGCAGTCAGTCGAGCAAGTGGTTTCTTGATGCTGTTCTTTTCAGGCTCACTTGGCATCAATAATGATAAGAAGCTCTACTGTAATTACATCATTTGGTAGGCTCCCAGGCCAAAGTTGCATACCCTTCGGATCTTGCACAGGCCTTTGTCGGCTTTTTTCAACTCAACTGTACAGTCTGCATCGTGCGATTAAATTCGTTTGTTGTGGCGCCTGCCGCAAGCCGCCGAGTCAAAAATAATGAACACCTGATAGCGGTCGGGAGTGGTTGTGGTACTGTGGTTTCACAGCAGATGGCACAACCCCCAAGAGGTCTTTTAGATGGGGATCCATATTTTGGGGATTGCGCCATCTACTCTCAATCCTCTACAATTTGTTTGATCTTAAAATGCAATTTTGGAAAGACAACAATACAACACTCACCAAGAAATGATTGCGTGCTGAACCTGGAAAGCAACACCACACTCACCGAATCCTGATGACCTTCATCCACACAAATAGGGTCTTTGACCATTACTCTTGCTACATGACCAAAGTCCTGTGGCAGGTGATTCAATTGATGGCACATGCAGGCATTTCAAGCATGTTGATTGCTGGATTGCAAGGTCTCTAAGCATCTCAAAGAGGGCGTGATCGTGGTTCTGAGTTTCCATGCATTGGCTAGAACCGCACGCGGCGTGCGGCAATTTTTAAGTTTGGAGTCGCCACCAATGCAAAACAGTGAAAACCCTGGTCGGGGACACCGATGGACACGTGGCATGTTTTTATGAATTTGTATGGGAGAGCTACTGTAGCAAGTGTGCAGTACATGCACCTTTTTGTATTTATGACTGTACCTAGGAGGCTGTTTCCTTTTTTAGTCTCCCTGATAAGGAATAGTCTGGTCTGGTAGTAGGATTTGTTTGTATTGGATCCATCAAGTGATGGTGGGGATCCCATTGAGAATACCGACCCCCACTTGATAGACCTAACACCACAGAAGACAAACCAAGATATGCGGACCATCAAAGAAATCATTCTCTCTGGCACTTGCAAGCAACTCTTCAAAAGTCCAACAGATCGTGTTTGCCAGTGTTTGCATTAAGTACTGTAGTTCCCTAGAGATTCAGAGTCATTTAGACCTTCCCAGACTAAAAGGAGAATCACCCATATCCGATGGCTTTCGTCCCAGTACGTTGGTTGAAGGCGGGCAAGACCATTGGTCCAAGACCATCCCCTCACCAGGGCGTTCGGCGGGGGCCGGTGGAACCGTTCCCCGTGTGTCGTTCCCGAGCCGGCGCAGCCCAGATCCTACGGATCGTGCACGTCGTTTTCTGGAAACCAACAGGTTCAGATGCAGCAGGAAGATGTGGCTTGAACATGCTTGAACATGGTTGAACGTATGCCCCAGAGACCACTAGGAGAAACTAGCATAGCACATGAACATGGACCCTGGGAAGACTATGATAGTGCATGCTAGCTGCTATATAGAATAGACATGATTTCTGCAATCCAATTTCGAAGGTGATTCACTTTCTTATGCAGGTATTCTGGCCATGGTGTCGCTGCACGTTCGTCAGATGTTTGTCCAAAAAGTGATTTGTATTGATCTGTAGATATCTGTAGAGACCTCCAGAATGGCAGTCGATTGGGGTGCACGGGGATACATGAACAGATCGTGTCCAAGTTAATCAGGAGGGGAAGTCCTAAGTTGAGAATGGTGATCTTTTGTCAGTGTCCATCAAACTGGCCGATTGGAACTTGGAACATGCAGATGTTTGAAGCCGTGCAGTAAAGCACCAGAACTCATCCATCCTTTGAGTCCATATCCGTAGTTACTGTAGTATATATTACATATATCAATATAGTGGGTGTAAGCACAACGGTAGGCTTAAGACCTGGGAGGCAAGCGCCAGGCAAGCTTAGCCGTCAAGGGCCGTTCACTCTGGTGTTCACTCGTTGAATTGGTGTTCGCTTTGAGTTGGCAGTTCGCTTTGATACGAGTCACGTTCTCGCTTTGCCAGAACCAAACATCCAGAGGATGTATTTATTACTTTCATAAACTGGTCTATGAGTCTATGATGATTTGATTATATAAATCACTTCTTGCAGGAACTCTGGGATTGGCACACTACCAAGCTTCAAAGACGTGCCGATCTGCCAAGGTTGGGGGGCATTGGTGTGTCCACCCTTTGACTGTGCCACCATCCCTAGTCGTTGATCGGCGCCGTTGCACTGGCAAGATGTACCTTGCGTGGTTTGGGGCCTTCGAAAAAGGGCTGTTGCCAAAACTGTGAACATGGACTTCGTAGCCACATGAGCCGTTCCTGGGTTTTGTTGACCGATTTAGGGCACCCCTCCTGGTGGAAGATGGTCGTCAAAGAGCTAGAGTCAGCTAGAGTTCCAAGTCTCCAACGGGCGAGAGGACTCCCTGTACCCATGAACTTAGGAAGGAGTTGGGAACTCCTTCTTCTGACCCTTTGTATCAGTCGGAGCAGGTGTTTATGTGTGTGCGTCGTGCCCCTTGCAAGTTCAGTCTACTCTACTCCACGTTGCATTTTGCATGTATGCGGCTCGAAAGATGCGGTGTAGTTCTTCAACATGTCTTTAGTTTAGCTCTCTTTGTGGCAGTTGGAGCGACCTACAGAGTCTGACATAGCATTAATACACGTACCAGCCTTCTCACGCTTCTCAGAGGTTCTCCATGTGAGAAGTCAAGCAGAGAGATGAAGTCCGAAGCACAAGCTATCGTCATTTGGTGTTTGTGGTCGCTGAGACCACGTCCACTGAGCGCCTTGCGCTGATCACAGGCGCAGGTGAGGGACTGCGCTCTGATTCAGTTGACCCAGCACCCTCACAGTGCTTTTCTTTTGTCATTCAGGATTATCCCCAAGTCACCTCTATGATGTGGGGGAGAACGCATTTGAGGAAACCAAGAGGGGGATTTCCTCACATGAAGGCCTGGGACAAGATAGGCCAAGGCATGGTCTTGTGAACTGACCTCACACTGGGAAAAAGTAAAAAGTCAAAACCCCGTCGTTTCGGTTCCCCAAGTTTATTTGTAGGTCGAGTCCAGAGGGCTAAGATCGAAGAATGAATGACATGCGGAAGCTGATGACATGCGCCAGTGACTCAGCGTCTTGTGCAGGACATATGGCAACTCCAGTGGCGAAGCAGTTGGAGACAGCTCGGATCCCTGGGCCGCGCGTGGGCCGTGGGTGGGCCATGGCCATGGAGTGTGAAAGACCGAATGGTGGCAGCCACCAGTCTTTTGGTCTTAGAGTCTATTTAGTATTTAGTCTGCTTGATTTTGAAGGTTATACAGTTATACACTATACAGTGGTTTCTGCAGCTTGGTGGTGTCCTTCTGGTGAGAAAGAATTTGAGCTCGCGGTTGCGAGTTCGTTGTCCTCAGCTTGCTGTGTCCGTGACTACATATCCCGACTAAGCACCGCGTCTCGGCTGGCGCACCCGCGTTGCACAGACATCTCTTAGGTTCGCGCCTATGAGACCGGCAATGATATCCGGCAGGCCGGAATGTGAGCGGAAGGTGATCGGAAGCTGATTTGTGCATCAAACTTCTGTGGAACCTTGAGAGATGAAATTCATGATACAGAATCTCCAAGTGCATCAGTACCTTCAACTCACAGTACTAAGGGCGCTTGCAGGAACAGTGGTTTATGAAGTTAAGTTCAGTTTGGTGTTTCGTGACAACTCCAGGTTGTGTATGCCCTCCACAGGACCAAACTACAAAACTAGCTATGACAGGCAGGTTGGTACCAGAGGATGTAGACTTTTCGTCCTGCAGCAAAGTGATCGCCACATGTTTCCACCTGTTGTGCTGCACTTTTGCTCAGATGGTGGCAACCTCCGAAGGCGGCAGGGCCTACAAGTTGCTGAAGAGGCTGGTGTCTAAGTCCAAGCACTCTTCAAGAGGATCTCCATCGATCTCCCTATCCCGAACATGATTAGGGTATATATGTTGAATATGTTTGCGGTTCTCTGGTGCTCGGATGTTTTTGGATGTTTATAGGCTTTCTAGGAATGAGAGGATCCGTGAGGCTTGTCCTGAAGGCTAAGTTCCATAGCAAGGTTTGGGGGTCCAAGTTGGTCTGCAGTGGTGCACCATGCTGTACGATGTGGCATGTCTACCCGCCCCATTGTTCCCGTTTGGCGAGGCGCGAAGAGACCAGAGCTGCCGCTGAAGCCGAGAAGGCAGCTTGGTAGCGAAACCTCTCAGGAGCTGTCTTTCGGAAAGAAGACCGTCCTGTCACGCATGCTGGGAATATGCAGGCGATTGCAGAAGTGTCAAAACAATGGAGACCACCTGGCTCATTGAAGCAAACTGACCTCAGCGAATCTGGAGGGACATAGTCTGGACTGAAATGAGTTTGAAGGGCCGATCTTCAAAGCCGTGCAGATCATTTTAAGATGTGACAAGAGGGCCCTGATAATGTCCATTCGTGTTTTCAGACCCTGTGAAGGTGAAGCTTTTGCTAACCCTTTCACCCACCACCACTGAAGCCTGCTCACACCACCAAGAACAACATCGAGAATGAGACCCGAAAACGAAGGCATCGCAGACATCGCCGGGGACAGTGCGGGGGTGCAGTCCCCCAAACGAGCGAAGTGGGTGGAGGGAGGTGGAGGTGTCTTAAACCACTGCCAAGGGACCCTATACCTTCGTCGAGTCTGCCAGCAGAACAGCTCATGACATGCACAAGAGGCTTAGGGAGCTGAGAGCACCAATTGCGACACAGGTTCCCAAAGGATCAAACCTTGAAGACACCCAATGAAACACTACATTAAAACACATGTCAATCATGTCAATCTGTAGTAACTAGCGATATGGTGGTACGTCACGCAGATGGAGTTGCTGTATGTTGTGCCATGGGGGGCACTAAGTGACTCTCCAAGCTAGTTCTCTTCCAAGCTTTCTGTCTTTGTACGTCCTGGTTTGGGAGAATATTGACGTAACATCCCCCTACGTTGATCCCCCTTAGTTAATGGTCAACTATATAATAGTAGATGTGATTTCCACAAGAGTATTGAAGAAGGTTCTGCCTTCCTCCTACTTGTTGTAGTCTCTCAAAAGGGGAAGTCATCATGCTGCTCAAGTCAAACATTATGAAACCCGATGGAGGCAGATCGCCAACATCGCGGACAAGTATTCCTCGGCGAGTTTGGCGGAGGATCTCGAGGAGGAGTTTAAGCGACAGACCGTCGGGTCCCTGTCGGGCTTTTGGAATCTGTGGGTCGACTACGTGTCCTTTTAATAGGTTTCGATAGGTTTCCTCCATGGTGAACACATCCTGTGGGCGCAACATGGCCGCGGGGATTCCTGGAAGGGTGACCAGCGACCAGTTTTCATGCGCATGATATCATCTCATCAATCTCGTTGAAAGGGCCAAGTCGATGCCTCCGTTCAATGACAAGCAGGTGCACTTGCAGTTTCGATTCACCAGCAGAATCTAGCAGATGCATTTGGCAAAGAGAGATTAGGATTGATGTTGTTATATTATGTTGTATTGGAAGGGCGGGAAATTGCAAAACCAAGAGCCACATGGCCACACTCAATAAGTTATGTAATGTTTTGTATTTACTAGTTACATTTAGTTACTAGTTCCCTTCACTAATGAAATCCAAAAGAGTGAGTTACATGTATCAAACAAGCAGCAGGTATAAACGTGCATCTGTGAATCTTGGTTGAGGTGGATAAATGTGGTGGCATACGCACCCCATTGCACCCCAGTCAAAAGAACTTAGATGACATTAGTATACATTAGTGCTGATCAGTGCTGTGCTTTTGATAAACACATGGGGTCCAACACTGGACACCTGTGCAGAGAACTTTCGTGGTCGTTGTCGGGATGGGATGCCTCCAAAAGAAGTGCCCACAAGCCGAGGTTGGCCTTGTTTCTGCGGATGAGTTCCGTGCGAAGCACGGATGCCCAGTTGATAAGGAAAGAGACACAGATCAGAAATGATGAACCAATTCAACTCAAATCAATCGTATACAATTAAGTCTATATATATAAGTATATACATGTATTATACAAAGCTTGATCCGGATTAACAGCGCCTTTCCTCCCATCATTGCCACATGCTTACAGACCATTTCTGCCGCATATTGGAGTCTTGCCGAAAGCGCTTGGCTCGCTTGGTACCCCCTTCGTGAAGCCAGGCGTCAAGCCATCGACGACATGATCCAGGCAACTCAGCAAGCTGAGAAGGACCGGGTCGCTGAGCCAAGAATGCAGGTCGATCAGATTCACAAACTTGGAATCTTTGGAACCACCATGGAACCACACTAAGCAGCAACAGCGTGAGCTTGTGTGCGTGGCTTTGGCGGAATTGAATTCAAGCTGTCCATGTGGTCTGTGCACTAGGCAATAACCTAGTAACGCTCTCCAACGTCCGCCATGGCTCTCCATTGCTGGTCCGGATGGTCCTTGTGATCACGTTCTTTAGGCTGGAGGACGATTGTTTTGTATTAGGTTCTCGACCAATCATTTGGGTATGTTGAGGTGTGGGCCGGTGTGGGCATATATGTTATATATACATATTTGATCATATTTGACGTAGATATAGTTATATACTGTATACATTCTGGTCCTTATAGTATGTCGTCGTTGATGGTGGATGATGTGAGGGAGCTGGCTTATCAGAAGGAAGCAGAGACCTGCTAGCTCAGTTGACCGCCTGCTGAGTGCGGGAATCTTTTGAACCCCTTTTTTTTCTGTGACAAACATCATGGAATCCATCCATATCCATCCAATTAATAAACTAACCTCCAGGTTCATACCATTGGATACTGCAAATGCACGAGGGTCACGTGGAAACTGCTGTGTACAGTCTTGGAGGTTGAGCCTTCAGAGCCTTCTAATTTTCTGCGCCAGTGCGCACTTGGTGCCGATCCCAGTGTACGGCAATCTGCGGAACGATGGCTACTATTTCTTGGACCTTTGGGTGGGAACTCCTCCACAAAGGCTGGGGAAGGCCAACATGACCAGCAGTCTTTTCTGTGAGCAGGTGAATCCATGCACGAGCAGCTACTTGTATGGTTCACAATGTTCTGTAAATTCACATCACTTCTGGGAAAGAAACTAGAGCTGGGCCGGATCACTCATCGAAAGCCGTTTGGAGGGTTTCAGTGATGATGAGCCTGACTGGTAGCCCTCTTACTGCCTTTGCTTGCTCCAGCTGCGAACGCTGTGCGCATCCTGGTATTGTCGAGATTTGGTATAGTTTTACTTTCATTTCCCTCAGAAACATATACTGTAGATTTGCTTGTCCATGTTCGTTACTTGAATGTTGTATTTTGCCCGGCTGAATTTATTAGTTTAGATTTTCGGGGGATGTTTTCTATGTCATACAGTCTATAGAACATAATTGCGTGATCCTTTTTGGGGTATGCTAGCAAGTACAATGGTCCTCCGACAGTTTAGACGGGAGTGTTTGCCAGCCATGTGCTCAGCCATTCCCAGGCAGCATATGGACCCTTGGTTCCAGCTCAACCAAAGCAGCACGGCAGAGATATTGCCATGTGCCGACCCGCGATGCCACCGTGCCCAGGCGAAGGAGATTACATCGTTGGGGGGGTTGGTTGGTAAGCAAAGCCCAAAGCAGTGCCCAAAGCACTTTGTGTACGTAAATGTAAAAGAAAACAACGCCGATAAAGAGGCCCTCCCTGCCCCTTGCTATTTAGTTTGCTGTCTCTTTTGCAAACCTGGGCTGGAAAAGAATGACTTCTGGAAACTAGATGAGCACCACGGTGGAAGAAAGGGCCTTCTCAGAATCAGACAAACCCACCGGTGAGATTGTTTTGGTGACGCCAGTGCGAGCTATGTGGACCTCAGTTGATGTGGACCGATGTCGATATGACTTGGGAGACCCCGAGGTGGCTGTGGCAACAGAAACCTGGCCACCAGCAACGCCCCTTGTGAGTACGAGCAACGCTACGCTGAGGGGAGCTCCATTCGAGGCTGGTGGTTTGAAGACGTCGTGCCTCGATTTGAAGGATGTCCGGTTGTTGCTGACCCTTACGTTAGAATGCGTTGAAACAGCACAAGGGGTATTGACCACACTAGGTCTTGTGCCTTCCAATCTCAGTATGTAAATATGTAATGTAAGAACACGTTGATCTGGGGAATTACCTCCAAGACCTATTGAATCAGGTGGCTGCAGTACCGCATGGTACTCTGGAAAATCCAAATAAGCATGCTCGGTCTTCTCCTAGACTTTGCAACATTCAGGTGTTTGGATAATCTATGACAGAAGGTAATTCATGGTAGCTACTAGTACTTGTACTAGTAGCAAGGACGCTACTAGGTGGAGGCCATCGCAAGTAGGTTGGAGGCCATTACTACATATTACTACTAGTAACAAGAAGCCACTAGTAGCTAGAAGCTACTAGGTGGAGTCCATTGCAAGTAGGTTGGATGCCATTACTGCTAGTAACAAGAAGCTACTAGTAACAAGAATTTTCTCTAGGACTCCTTGAGCCCCAGCGGTTGATCGTTGGCGGCGCCATTTTGGTCGCCCAAAGCCCTGTGAATCCCCTGGAGCTATGACTAGTTTGATCATGGAATATATAATGTGAGGTAGATTGTTTGTCAGATTCACCTCCTTGCTCTTGTTCTTTTTGATGCTGAAACAATCAAGACGGTGCCATGAGGTGCGTGCAGGGTCTCAACTGATCGGTCGCAAAATGATGGGATGCCACTCGGAGGAGAAGGATATCTTTTCAACGTTGAAAGCCAATGGAATCCTCCAGTTGGCGCCAGGCGGGGGCCGGATGGCCGTTGAGTTGACTGTGATCCAACCTCCTTTCCCACAAAATTGAAGGCTTCAAGAGTTGTTTACAGTACTATGTAATCCAATGCAAAGTAGCCAAGGTCAGTTGAAGGATGGACCAGCAGTGATCATTGTTGCAAAAACAAAACCAGCAGGGAATAGATCCAGACATACCCTTCTGGTGTGTTAGTTTCAATTTTTGAATGTTCCATGTGAAAAGGGTGCCAGCCACTAGCCCCTGAGCAGGAATCTCAGACACACTGTTGGCAGAGCGAGATGCTGATGTCATCGCCGTTTGTTTGGCAGACTATGGGGGCATCGTCACCATGGGCGGACCCAACTGGTCTTTCCACCGAGGAAGACCAAAGTACATCAAGATGAAGCAGCGCATGAATTCCTCTATCTTCGCCCAGGGCCGAAGTGAATCTGGGCGAACCAAGAACAGGGGGGTCGATCGTTTACGACCCACCGGATCACGGATGCAGACAGTTTTTGGCCTAGTTTACGGCAGCCAAAGTATGCCAACAGTTTTCGGCTACAGCTTTGTTTCACCCATCACCCTAAACATCCACCAGCTGATGGTCTTTGTGGGCCAAACCGATAGTTTCCTATGCTTCCGCAGCAATCCTCTTACTCATAGGACACTGTGTTTTGCCCAACCAATGGGACTCCTACTTAGAGTTGCGGGCATTCTTGAGGCCGCGCAGATCAGTCATCAAAACAACATACTGTAACAGGATACTTGTACAGTACATGTGGAAGTAGTTGCACTTTAAGAGGTTGCTTTTGCTTGAACTGAATCCATGTTTTGAGGAGATTCTGGTTCCGTTGACCAGCATCTCCATCGGGTGGCATGTGGTGCCAATCCATGGTGAGACCACTGTCGAGAGTGGAACCACACGAATCTTGGACTGTGATTCATCAGGCATTCTTGGATGTTGTTTTTGGAATTGTGATTGTGATCGTGCGTTTTCCCATGTTGGCTGCAGGTTGACAGCAAAAGGTCATAAGGTGAACCATCCTGGCAACTACCCTTGGTATCCCCTTAAATATCCTTAAATGTTTTCACATGGTTCCTACGGGGAAGGAACCTACTTCTCCTCTTCGGCATATGATTCCATCCGGAAGCACATCGAAAGCTTCTGTCGGCACCGCTGCGGCTGCGTGGCTGCAGATCCAGTCAACTCCGATATGGTGGAATCAGAATCATAGGTTGCGCATGGTTGAGCACTAGCACCTGCCTTCTTGGGAGCCTGATTGATGTAACTCCATCAACTCCAGAGCATTTTGAGTTAACTAGGGATCCTGTGAGATTGCATATTGAACCTGTCTGAAATCTTTGGCATCCCCACCGGTACGTTGTGGCCACGACGGGTTCAGATCCCCGATGGTCAACAGCACCCGATGTCACATGTGCTTCTCATCGGTCGCATTGCATTTTTTCGGCTCTGAGAGGCCTTTTGACGGCCAAGCGGAGCTGTTGGATCACCAAGCGATTGCAATACTTCCCCGCGTTGAGGCTACCGGAGAAGTGTGGAGGGCGTGCACGTTGTCGACTGGATCTTTCGGGGTTGAACAACCTATTATCACAGTATAATGTTTTGGGCCTTGGGCTGCAGATATTTCAAGGTTATTGAAGCATCACGTGGTATTCTGTGTGTGGTGTTATGGCTGCACCCGGTCGCACCTACCGGTCCGGGCCCACTTGAGGCCGGGTATGTCCGGTCAAAAGACCTTCGTACTCACCGCCTCACCGTGCGGACAGGATGAACTTCGGCCATACATTCCGATGGGCCCCAAGCGCTTACCTTTATGCCCGACGGCCAGGCAGGGTGCGAAGTCGGTGGTTAAGCAAACCTTGCAGTGATATTACTTTCCCAAATTCCCAAAAATTCTCGATAGTCTCAAGATCTACACGCGACTTGGTCAAAGGCAACAAGCAGCGGTTGTGGAACTCTAAGAGGTTGGACCATGAAACAGCTGCATGGCTTGTAGGTGTCAACGGGGTCTAGTAGTAATATATTTTGATTTTGTTTAATCACAGATCTATTGTAGTTGTCAAGGTCAAGGCTTAACACCTACGACCATGCAGGCCACTATTGCTATGCATTTGAAGATGATGGCCCCTCGGGCAGGACAATTTTAGGCGGGTTGGGCGAAGAAGAAGATGGAGCGCAGAAACAAAGAACCACTGGCACGAACCGCCACAGGACCCCTCTAGGTCTCTAGGTGTATGCTGCTCCAAGTCTTCGTTTAACTGGAAGTTTAAGACCCTCATTCTTTGTTGAAGTTTGCAGCCCACCACCAAAGGATAGACACCTGACATAGCGGATGAACGCGTGTGCACGAGCAAGCCTCACGTCGCTCGGAGGTGGTAGCTGGATGCTTCATCAGGAGCTGATTTTCGACTTCCGCCAGGGTCGTTTGGGTGTGGTGCCGGCCGAGTGCCCTCGACATTTTGCTCGGCCCATCGAGGTGCTTTGGGACATGAACTCACAGGTGGCTCTCAGATGTGTTTAAAAGGAGTTTGGAAGTTGTGTTGTTGTTCTGTCAACCGTTGTTTTCTTGTGTATGTGTGTGTTAACGTACAGGATAGGGATAGAGTCGGATAGAGGACATATGTTGTGGGAAGCGGAACATCCAGCTGCAAACACACGGGTTGTAGCGGTCAATGGGTTTTGAATCGTGATCTGGAATTCACTTCACTGAAGCAAACTTAACAAGTGAGGTGGGCCACTCCAAAGAGGACCACCATTCTGATGCATTTGGTCAAATTCACGTGTCACCGGCTGAGAGAGACTCGATGATTGCTGCGGTGTTGATGCTTTGCTTGGGCCTTCTAAGCATGAAGTGGTACAAAAGACCCAAAGCTCCAGCTGTTGAGATGGAGGCAGATGTTTTGGAAAACACGAAGACATTAGACATTGAGCTCAAGAGCATTCCGAGACCATTGACTGATAGTGCACATAACAAAGACTTAAGATAGCAGGTCAGCTGTGTGCGTATGTCAAATGGCAATGTTTTTTTTTGATGGAGGAGGCATTGCAACGAGTTTTTATCGCAGGTTCTTTTTACACCTTTTGGTGTTCCTGGTTGAGACATAATAGCATTTGAGGTGGAAGATAAACACTAAAACCATAGAAACCTCCATACTCCATACTTTTATTACTGTGATAGTCCGTGGTCCGTATTCATGGTTCGAGTATAGGAAGAGGGAAACGGTGAAGGCACTTTTATGTTTTGCCGATAGGAAGAGGATCCACCCAAAAGAGATCCAGGTATCTTCCAATTCCGCTCCTTCGCAGGTCGCACTTGCGAGCCTTGACACGGGTGATTCACCCTGTGGCGACTACTACGCACTGGACGATTGAGAAACCGGCCTCAGCCTGGAAGGATGAAACCTTTGGCCTCCATGGCACCCTGGTGGAGATCCAGGATTTGGACTTGGACGATGGACCAAGAGGCACGCAAAGGGAGTCACCAAACAATAGCTCACTTCATGATGTTTGGATATGTTTGGCATTGTGACTGGGGTATTCTGAAGCGGGATGTGGTGGGGATCAGGTGAGGTGATTGATGTGTTGCAGCGGTGCATGTGCAGAAATATGAAGCATATATGTTGCTGGGTTCTGAGATTGGTTCTTTGGGGGGTAGTGCTCGATCGATTTGACGAGAGGTCGCCACTTGGAGATGAACTTGGCTTCCACAGTGGTCGGCTTCCACTTCCGAAAAAGCATGAAAAGCAACGGCAGCTGGACTTCTGAGTCACTGTCCCGAGGATGCGGAGATGAGTCTCAATTCTGTGCGTGAAGATGTTGGAGATACCTCAGCTTCAGCTGACCAACGTGTTGTCGGAGTCCGAGACTTGCGCGACCATGTGTTTCCATGCTGCAAGGCCACAAGATCGGCAGCGCCTTTGCGGCAGGAACCTGAATGTGTTTCTCTGTGTTTCCAGTGCAACTGCGTGAAAAAGAAGGCGCCATGTGCTATGGGCAGCCAACTCAGGAAGATTGGGCGAGTTTGGGGATCCATGATGATCCATGTGATCAGTTGATGAATGGGAAAACATGCATATTGCATGATTGTTTGTTGAACGTATCACTTCATCCCACAAATGGATCCAAGCGGCAGGAATGGCAGCCGACAATCGTGGTGTTAAGCCGACTTATGTATTAGACCAGTATCCTGTTGTTTTGTTGTCGGTTTCTTTGGGGTGTGTGACAGGAAAACGTTTAACTCTGTTTGAGTTTGCGGGTCATCAGTTTCTTTGCTTGGTTCCTTTTTCATCCATTCCCGCAGTCCAGGACAAGAAGTCCCTACGGGTGAAGAGGACGGTGAAGTCGGCTCAGCTCTCCTTTGAGGCTACGCATGGGTGGGTGTCCCGGTTGGTGTCCGGTGTGCCAAAGAGGGCAAATAGAATCAAATAGATTTGGCCGTGTGGGGGTGTGGCTTTGGTCTATTTGGGTCTTGCCAGTAGGTCATGACAGTCATGTGAGGTGTTGAAGGAGTCGTAGCATCAACAGAAGTTGTCTCCCTGGGAACTACAACGAACATCGTTCAATTGGAGCTTAATGTTTGTTTCGAGGTCTTCAAGGGGCTGTTGGTTGGTGTTTCTTGAATCACATCCCTGGCTGCCCTAGCTTTCTGGATGAGGGGCGTCCTGGGAGAAGATTGCTCACTTGGGGTGGTGAGTGGTGAAACACAAAAGCTTGCTTTCCTACCTTGACGTTGATAACTCGTGCCTGCACTGACTAAACAAGGATGCAACTTAGCTGATTCATCCTGCCAAGAGTGGCCCTCCTGGAGCAAATGCTTGGCACAAGGCAGATGACATGCTGGGGAGTGATGAGGAGCCAGAGGCCATGGCAGTGTTTTGGAGTCCGAATGAGGCCAACGGTGAAGAGCACTGAAGAGCACAGTTGTTTTCACCAATCCTTGGAGCTCACACTCATAAGCGGCCCACCTGAAGCTGGTGGTTCAAGTCCCCCTGTTGGAACATGCCTATCTCATGTTATCTCAGTCATGTCCATCACGGACCCAGACGATGAGTGATTGAGCGACGCAAGTGTCAATCATCGTGTCCCCGGAGAATTGACAGAGTTGGGTATTGGTGAAAGCAGTACTCTCACCCCCAATAAAAAATAACATGTGTTGACTCACAGAGATGTCTTGACTCGGTCAAATGCTTCTTTATCCTGGTGGAGGAACATGGTTGCACTGACCATGTTGCTGCATGGAACCATATGTATTGGCGATTAAGTTTATTGAGAAGGTTCCTAGCTTGTCTCTTATCTTCGCCAGGAAGACTCCGACAGCGACGAAATGAAAGCCAAAAAGAAGAGGTGCACTCTGCCAGTGGGGCTGATAGCCAGCGATATGGCCGAATACCGCACTGGCATACGGAGATCCCATTTACATCATTCTGTCAGAATTTGCATGCAAAAGCAACTGCTATTGCCGGGTTGGCCAAATCATGACGCTGGAAACGATGCTGTCATCGGTCAATTCGATCAGATGCAGGACACCAGCAAAATTTCAATCCAGTGTGGGTGGACCATTCGACCAACGGGCTTGCTGAATCGTGAACAGATCCACATGTTTATCACTTTGGGTCGTGTTGAATTGATTCATAGAATCCTGCTTGATGAAGGCCAAGCCAAGTGTCTGCAGGATTTCGTTGGAAAGCATCTATATAGAGACCAGCAGTCCACCTCACGTCGATTTTGCGCCAGGTTTGGCAAGGACCCCAACGCCAAGACCGACTTCCTGTGCCCAGGGAGCAGTGACAGGGCCGAAGTCAACCATTGATGTGTGTTTTCAATTGCTGGCAAGGTGCTTTAGCAACACCGCAGTACAACGGCTTGTGTTCTATTGTATTTTTGCCTCAAGAGGTAGTATACATCCCACATCATGCATTCCAGCGACAACCGATGTGCCACTCTGATTGTTGCTCTAGCTTTTCAGGCTACTCCGGCCAAAGACACACATTCAAGACCCTCCTCAGGTACGATGCTGACCGTGAAGCAGAGCTCCTGCGGAAGAAGAAGGAGCTCATTGTCGCTTGGTTACACTACAGACAGGTTCTAGCGCTCCAATGTCAACAAAGATTGCAACTTGACAAGTGATTGTGTCATGCCTGGAAGTCGTCAGCAGGGGACCCAGCGTTCGCCAAGCCAGAGGATCAGATCAGCGGAATCCGGACCAGCGGACCGGCTGATCGTTTGGATGGGAACAGAGTCAGCGGAAATATGCGGATCAACCACCAGATCAGTGCATCCTGTGCGACTCGGAAGTTCATGATAATATAGTCGCTTTCAATGTTTCTTTTCTGTTTGGAGCATGCATTTTTGCACATTTGTGTATGTCAAAACTGTGGTGAGAACACGCACATGTTAAACGAATTTTGATGTCAAGTTTGCAGCTTTAAACACTGCAAAAAGTACCTTTTCCATCAACAATGATTGATTTAGACAAAGGTTGAGCAAAGGGCTGGTGCTCCAATGGTCCACCTTTGTCAACACTACGGCCCGTTAAAGTATCCAAAACACCAAAAGAGCCCAACGTAACAAGTTTTTGTTACCCCCAGACAAGACAGTGGTGAAACAAATTTCTTTGTGTGTAACGCCGGCATGGTGCCAAGACTAAAGACAACTAATTATCGTAACTACTTATCACATACTATCACAATCAAAGTCGCCAAAGGCACCCTGGACAAGACAGCGGTCAAGACATTTAGATTAGATAATTTAAGGGCAATCAGCTGGGGCTGTGAAAACAAAAGCCTTCAATCAACAAAACATGGGGCAGCAAGAAAACAAGTGGGAAGCACGCTCTGGGAGTTAGCGCTTTTCCCACGGTCATTGCATGTGTATTTGTCAAGCCCGCGGGCTAAAGATCAAAGTTGGCCTACAAACCAGCTTTTGGACTGTGGCGTGCGGGTGTGGCAAAGCAGAAATGCCGCATGTAAACTTACAAAAGTGAAAGTGCTGTTTTTTGTTAGTGAAGACTATGGGAAAAGCTACGGCCCAAACCACTGGCGCGGTATTGTGCTTGTTTCCTTGTTTTGAGCGGTTTCTGGCTGAAGCAGTGGCACTTATTTACAGGTTGCCCTTAAGGCTTCGGCAAAGGAATCGCCGGCAAAAACCGCATCGCTCCTCCCAAGATGGCTTTCGTGCGAACCTGTCCATACGAACGGTCACGGGCCCCAGCTGAATGAGAACCATGCAAGTGCTATTTTATAAGCGATGTCACCAAGCTGTTGTCAGGGGACATGTGGAGGTGGTCAAAGAAAGTGAATTAAGACATTCATGTGCACTTCCACCACGAGGCAAGAGGATCCTTGACTGACAGCTAGCCTATATTATACCTACTAAGCATTTTGTAATGTGCTCAAAAGATGGGCGAGATGGGCATCCGTTCGGCACAAGAACTAAAACACAAATAAAGACCTCGACATGGCATTTTTGCCCCGCCGCGGGTAAAACTTGGAAAGGACATGCATTTTCTGCATCGGACCTCTGGCCTTAGCCAGGGTGCCTTGCCAGCCGTTCCCGCCTCGGGGCTCTCCCAGCCATTCGTTTGAACTTTAAACTTTAAACGTTAAACAAGTTGTTTTCACAGCCACCTAGGGTTTCAGAAACCGACCTGAAATTCCAAATGCCTCCCCGCCTCACCCAGAGCAAATCAGCGGATCAGCGATCATCAGCGGACCAGCGGACCAGCGAACTGGACAACCCAGCCGCACTAAGTTGATTCGTGGGGAATCCTGGGAGTTAGTGCAGGCAGTTGAGTAGACACGTGGCATGGTGACCACAGACCTTAGGTCCAATACAAGAAGGAGCAAGAAGAGGCCTGAGACCTGAAGGGCTTATTCTATTTTGTTAGGGTCCTGCGGTCGCCGACCAACTGGCAACCCAGCGAGCGACGAACTAGTTTGATCTAGTGTTCATACATGTTCATACCGTTTTAAGGTCAGCCCAGGATAGGAGGACTCCGCCACTTGGATGTTGACATGGATGCGTAGAGTAGACATGTTCCAATAACCGTTCACTGTACAGTGTACCTCATGTGTTTCTCTTGCTCCTTGCTTGGCTTTTGTGCAGCTCAAGAAGACGAAGTTGGAGGTGACTTATTCCTATTGGGATGGTTTGTTGGCTGCAAAGGACCTTTGTGACGCCGAAGGTCAAATGGTTCATGAAGGATATGGAGACATCCTCATAGGTCAAGACCAAAAAAGGATTGGATGTGATTCTCAACTTTCTTATGAGTGTTGGCTATTTGCTTAGTGCCTTGTGAGCCTCTATGATCATTGCTTGGATGGACTCGACAAATATGAGAAACTTTACTGAAGGCTTGATTTGGGTAGAGTTCCACGCATGCCACGTGTGTTCATCCACTGTGGCATTTAAGTGTTTGACATATATACATATATATATATTATATGCATGTTTTGGGCACACGGAGAGGCATACGGGGGTTTGACCCGTCACACTGGAAACCATCCATCGTCGGATTCCGAGACCCAGCGGTCGAGATGACGAACCGAGGCTCCGGGCACCGGAGGACCTGTGTCATCGAGCGGGGCTTCACGATTGGCTGGGAAACCACAGTGAGTCATGGTGAACAGCAACGGATCAATCGATATGAGATGCTATGAGTGAACCCAGAACAAATCGGCTTGTTTATTTCACGGATTACCAAGGCTGCCTCATAAGTCATCGTGAATCATCATGAATATATTATGTATCCAACAAAGTGTCAAAGAGAAAACAAGTCCTTCCATCGATGCATACTGTAAGCAATTTCATTGTCAAAATGTAGACATGCAGACATGCACAGCCAGCTTTATTTGTCTTTATATAAACCTGTGACTTTGTACACTCGATCGGCTTAACACTTTGTATATTGATGTGTAGAACATGTGTGTCTTATCAGCATCAGTTGGCACACAATCGACCCGCGGATCCTGATCGCATCCTTTCTGGATCGGCGGATTTCGGCGGATTCGCTGAGCCGAATCGACACGAGGCCAATTCCTGCAAAAGGCGAAGGCCGACCTGGCCCCTCGGCGGCCAGATTGAATGGATGCAACAGATGCCCCACCGCTTGTAGCTTGGGTCGTAGCTTGGACAGTAGTGACATGTAGTGACCTGTGATTCTGATGTGACGTACA